TTCATCACGTACCTTATCTCAACAACAACATTCATAACAGATTCATATTATGTCTTTTTTCATAGGTAAGGTGGCGCCCCGTATTATGGGGGCTGGGACTTCAGTTCATTTTTGCCGTTTTTATTCTGCGTACTAAAGTTGGATTCGAACTATTTAAATGGCTTGGTGACTTTGTACAGAAGTTCCTATCATTCTCGGATTATGGAGCTGCGTTTGTATTTGGAGAGAACTTCCAAGAGCATTACTTCGCATTTGCGGTGAGAAACAATAAGCAATAAGACTCATCTAATATTATGTTTGTACCATATTATTCGACTTTAAGTGTATTTAATATGTATTTTATGCGACTCGCATCAACGCTTGTGTTGTCAAAAGGAAGGAAGTAAAAATCAATTTTAATTTTTAGTTAAATTATTAACGCCCGTATATTTAATTTTAAATTACGACATTTTACATATTTTGTTGAACTTTTAATTATAGTTAAGCAGTGTATATAACAAATGTAACTGTTTCAGTAGTGTAGTATTACTCAGCACCTGGCAACGTATTTTATTGCCTAATCAGAATATAATTGGTAATATATTATTTAATTCACTACGTCAAATGTAATGACATTTCATTTTGTTCCAGGTAATGCCAGTCGTCATATATTTTGCATGTTTTATAGCAATATGTTATTACCTCGGTATCATGCAGTGGGTAATCATAAAAGTAGCCTGGCTGTTTGAGGTTACCATGGATACATCGCCATGCGAATCGTTAAATGCAGCTGGAAACATTTTTGTTGGGCAGGTATGTAGGTAATGTGGTCCATTATGTTACCAAAAAAATGCAAGGTAATTTACCAAAAAATTATGATTAGTTGCTGAATGTTGATTATACTAAATTAATCTTGTCATATTAATTGGATTTCAAAGGCCAACCCGAGTTTTGATTTGCACTAGTTCAGTGTTCAGTGTCTAAACATAAAACGACTTGTGTTATCGAGTAGTTAGGTGGTATTGTGTCATTCCAGTGCAATGATGAGATTCACTCGAATGCTGAAACAAGGAATCACACCCGAACCTTAACTATTTTGTTTCAATGAATTGTAAAGGTTCAATATGCTGCATAGATTCTTATAATACCATTTATCCACTACATCCATACATACACACAGTTTGATGTTAGAGCAAATTGAAATATTCAGATCATTAATTCACGACAAACTATCGAATATCATGTTGTTGAAATAGTGTAATGACTTACTCGCGACCATTTATATATAGAAGCTAATCTGGATTGGATTAGAAATGTCCCGAATTATATGCACATGTGTTGCTGGAGGTGAATGACTAAGTGACTAAATCTTTGCGAGAAGCAACAATCAAACGTTGTTTGAAAACATCCATGTTCTGTTATTTACTAAATTGAGATTGCGTTATCCTATCAAATATAAATGGTAGGTGTAAAACCTCTAGATCTAATAAATTAAAATGTACGTTATTATTTTTTATGAACTTCATTTAGTCTGAAGCTCCTCTTATCATCAAGCCATTTATAAAAGATATGACAAAATCAGAACTGCACGCCGTTATGGTAGGAGGCTTTGCCACTGTAGCAGGTAGCACTCTCGGTGCATACATCGCCTTCGGAATCAGTGCTTCCCATCTCATATCAGCGTCAGTTATATCCGCACCGGCAGCCCTTGGTATATCTAAGTTGTTCTACCCTGAGACACGATTTGGCAAAACAATGGACACAGAGATTGTTGTCAATAACATAGGAAAGACGTAAGTTCTAATTTTTGTGTTCACCGGAAAGAGACATGCTATTTGTCTAATCATTTTGAACGATGTGTATTGGGACTAGAGAGGTTGTAATTCCACGGCCAAAGTTGTGTTTATTTGTCATACTGTAGTCTAGAAAATTACTATGCAATATTATTAATATTTATATTAACATTTGTAGTAGGAGTCAACACTAAACAGCATTATGTCTGAGAATATTGTTGGTTGACTGTCCAGAAAAAAAAATTGGGTAAACATTTGTTGCATAGAGGGGGTAGAGTGTTCTGGAATATGATGGACAAATAGTTGCTTGGTAGCCAGTTCAGGCATAATGTGTTCATTACTGAGGGTGAAACTGAGTATACAGTTCAGGAATAAAGTTGATTCAAAGTAGTGTGGGTAGACAGACAAAGTTTAGGCATAGTATTGGTAGACATGTAACGTAGAGAGTTGATGCTTGCAAAGAAAGTTTGTTGAATGTTCACGACTGGCCAGGAAGTATGGAGTTTAAAATTAAGGAGGGTAGATATATGTGGGAGCACTTTCAATGAATTGAGTTGGTAAACTGTCAAAGAATAAAATGGATAGATTTACCTAGGAAAAGGTTGTGAGACACGTCATGAACATAGTTGATATACAGTTACTAACCTATGGTAAGCAATTCAAGAATAAGGTAGCTAAATAATCCTGCTACGGCTCCAGTAATGAATTAGTCAATAAGGCAAATAAACAGATGTACAATCGAGTGGGACGACAGAATTAAAAAACGAAAATAAACAGGAAGAAAGGCTAGACGGAGAGGAAATAATACAAGAGTAAATAAATAACATCGATAGATAGTCCAGGAATAGTATGGAGGTAGTAACAGTTCATGGGTAATTTGGTCATCCAGGTGTGTAAACAATTTAAAAATGACGTGGATACACATTTCAGGAAGATGAGCATATTGCCGGGTAATATAGTATATGTGTCGTCTTATAACATGTTACATACATCGTGTGGGAATAATGTGGTCAAGTTCAAAAATAGGGTGAGTACATTTTTCAAGACGGTAGTAGATAGTCAGTTGAAGAAATTGTATGCTTAGAAATAACTGTAAACTGTACTGGAATAGGATCGTTAACATAACATGAATAAGATGGTTAGAAAGTATGGACAAGAGGCCGATACACATTCCAGGTATTAGATGTTTAGGTAGTTCGATAATAGACCGGATAGACATTTCAGCAATGTGGGATGGCGGGTAGACAGTTAAAAAATGAGTTTGGTACTTGTTCAGTGATGGGATATGTAGAAAGTCGATGAATATGATGATATTTCATGAATAAAGTGGGTAGACAGTTCATGAATTGAGTGAGTATAGAGTTCAGCTATAGTGTGGCTAAACAACTCAGAAAATTAAGGATTGAAAAAATGGGAAAATATTGGAAGGTGGTTCAGAAATGGGTTGAGTGGGCAGAGAGTAGTGGTGGGTTGAAAATTTACTAATAGGGTGGACTGGTACAGAAATAGGCTGGGTAAAATGTTCAAAAATAATATTGGGCAGAAATTCCAGATAGAGGGTGGGCTGACTGTTCAGGGATATTGTAGGAAAACAGTTCTGGGAAAATGTGGGTATACTGTCCAATGTATATAATTGGGTAAACTGGGTAAATAGAGCAGTGCGGTGATTGTTCAGAAATAGAACGGAAAGATAGTTCAGGAATAAGGGTGGGCACACTGGTCAAATATAACTTCTAATAAAGCAGTTCAGGAATAAAGCAGTTACTACAGTTAAGAAATGCAAAATTAGTCATTTGATTTGGCAAAAGTCCGTCATGTGACCAATTATCATAAAATGTGGTTCGTGTATCTATTAAAATATCTTACCTAATTTTTGTTCTGGATTGTAATCAATTTGAAATTTAGAACCCGGACTTGGTATATCAGTAACAAAGTCAATAATAACAATAGAAGCACACCCATTTTGTGTATATTATCCATGTCTAGAAATAAGCATGGTAATGAACCAATAATTAGTCGATAAATTAAGCAATTAAACAATAGACGGATGTCAGTGTATGCTTTTGCAAATGACAATACACTACTAGCAGAAGCAAACACAGCGCAGTGAAATAATATTAACTAGAGCCACTTTGAGAGTATAAATCTCTGCTTTAGATGCACATTACACATCCTCACTAATTCACCAGCCCTTTTGTATATGGTATACATAATATCATCACATAAGCTTTTAATTTCTGTTGAAAAGGGATACTAAACTGAGAACAATCTATACTTGTTTGGGTTATAAAACTTAAAAAACAACAACTAGCTTAAAAAAACGTGCAAAAAATATGTGTTAGAAAATAACAGACCTGAGACACAGATAAAAAACATTTGCCAAATATATGGAAAACATAATTACATCATAACAGCTACTTCACAAAAAAAGAAAGATCAAAAACGTCAATTTTATTTTTAATTAACGTAATTGTATTTCCATTTTTTCGAATTTCATACTGCAAGTTTATTTTGCATGAACCTTAGTAGGAATAATAGCTCGTCCTTAAAATCGTCGATGAAATGTTAGCTTATCTCAACTGTTATCTGCAATAAAATAACACAAAGTCTCGTTTACAGAGAAGACAGAAATTTCCTTGAAGCAGCAGCAAGCGGTGCGTGCCAGGCTGTTCCATTAGTCGCTAATATTATAGCTAATCTTATTGCATTCATTGCGTTACTGGCACTATTCAATGCCTTCCTTGATTGGGTAGGAGATATGGTCGGAATAGAAAACCTTAGTTTTGAGGTAAGTTTCAAAGCTTTTGCAGCATTATGTAACATTATTAGATTGTTGAACAGCTAACTAACCAATAACCAAATAATTGACGAATACATTAGGCATTATTATAGCTAGCATTATTTAAGAACAAATCATACTTGTGGACATATCCTTACCAATGTGTTGATTCAAAAATATTCCCGGACTTGGTATATTTGTCACAAAGTTCAATAATGATACGAATTGTGAGTTTGAATTGTGTTTGAAGGTATTTTAGTTTATTTAGTATGGTTATACATGCGAGCTGCAATTTTACCCAGACTCCATATAATACCATACAAATCACTATTTACTGCTGGGTCATCTTAATGTTTAACTGAGATTTTGTTAAAACATATATTTTGCTTCTGAAATTCGGTGATGTCAATATTTAGGAATGATATAATCAAATGTGAATATTGGAAAATTTGAAAACAAAATCAAGAACACTTAAAGTGTCAACACTGCTAATTATTACTATACCACGTTGAAATTTAGTACACTATGCATCAGTTCACATTATGTGGCTAATGAACGCACTGATAAAAAAACATTTCCTAAGCATTTTCCGGCGTGTTGCAATCATAGTCACTTTACATAATTTTCTTCGAACAAAACCACTTGAATTGCAATCACAGTTACCGTGAATCTGTTTGTTTTCATTTTCAGTTTTCTCAATTATACCATTAATTTTTGTTCAGAAGTGGGAAAAACAGTAAAACTTGTATTTTTTTAGCATAAAGTGATTTTACTCCACAAAATGTTTATTAATTTCAAGCTTTTAGACCAAATGTATAACTGCCAGGAAACAAAACCAGAATATTCGGAACATGTTTTCTTTTTGCTGTACTACTGTAAAAATGTACAATAATGATTGTTCAATTTGATGTATATTAGTTTCGAGTGAAAACTACAAAGCTGAGAATTTCTAGCAAAAGACAAAAACATGTCGTTTTAAACAAACAATATGCGTTAGAAACAATTGACTGCAAACCCAGGTCTTGTCATAAAGTTTATTACCTCTTAGTAATAATAACAATAACAGATCTGCATGTTAAATTTGATAAATTGGGTTGCGTTTTCTAAATCGTGATAAATGTCATCTATAACTTACTTATTTATCATAACAAAATACCAATATATATGTGTACGCATTTGGAGGTAGTGCAATTATGCGCAATTACCAATCTGCATAAAAACCTGGAAATATTTCCAACAATACATAACTAAAGACATTTGACAAGGTCGTTGGAGACATAAACTAAAAAACCATCACATTAACTAATAGTTTATGTACATTTACTTAATTCATAGCTCTCATTTTCTTCTTCACAGTCTATTTGCTCTTACCTTTTCGCACCTGTTGCCTTTCTCATTGGTATTGAGCCGGAAGACTGCAGAATAGTTGCTGGACTCATTGGCACTAAATTGTTCATCAATGAATTTGTGGCATATGAGAAACTGGGTGAACTAGTTGATAATAGAATCAATGGTGTTGAGCCGAGCATTTCGGTAAGTTTAAGACACATTGTCACTGATGCATAGAAAACACTCATCGAGTGGTCGTTTCAAAATATTAGAAAAAAACAATTATTTTTTAGATGAAATTAGTTCTGAATACAAATTGTCCTCGTCTTATTCTTTTTCCTATTTTTGTCTAGTATCGGTCAGAAGTCATAACAACATATGTTCTGTGTGGATACGACAATATCAGCAGTATTGGTATCCAGTTAGGGGCTCTTACTCCCATGGCACCTTCTCGCAAAAGTGATTTAGCTTCCGTAGCTGTCAGAGCTCTAGTTGCCGGAGCGCTTACATGTTTCATGACAGCTTGTGTTGCTGGTAAGTATGTCGTCATTAAATCTGGTTTATTAGGTTATGAAATGGATGTTGTTGCGTAAGTTGAAATGTGAGCATGCACAGAAATGTAAGTTTAAACTAATAACAAATAACTTGAAGTACCAGCGGAATTTGATTTTTGTAGTGTTATTCATTCTTTACGTGGATTTCGATTAGCTCGTCTTTTGGACTTCTCATCAATACTGCTACAGCTGAACAAACTGTACCAAACTCTAATAATTCCTTTTTTTTCCTTTAGGTATGCTTTACACAGAATTCGATTAGCTCGTCAGTTCTCATCAATACTGCAGAAGCTGCAGGTGCTGTACCATACTATTATATGGGCAATGGTTTAAATGGTTACAATTATGCTACTACCTGCACTTTGGAAAACTATGCAATGTGTATGATTTTACTTGGTCTACAAATAACACCACCACCAATCTATGCTGTAGATTACCGTACCTCATTGTGCTATTCTTCGGAATTAATTTAAACCACAGTGAATTGAAGTGCTGTTAATCGCTATGTCATGGTGGCAGAGCACACGTCTGTTTTCTTGACGTCTACCAGTTATGTCTGTCTACCTGTGTATTTCCTTTCTCTGTGTCGTCATTTCTTCACCTATTGACTTTTTAATATTATGCCTCTATATTATGCCTCTATATTATGGTGTACGGCCGGTAATAATTTATCAAACAGAATCGTGGCAATTTGCATGTGTAGTTACGGGATATTATCAACCAGTAATTACTAGGATAGTTACATTTTAAAATGAGCTATTTTGACATAAAATAAGTCACTTTTATCTACTTATTTTCTATTAGATTAGTACATTATGTGTTCCTGAATTGATTGTATTGTTATACCATTACATCAGTGTGAGAAACTATTTAAAATGTCATAGTATTAATTGCAGCAAAGACTTGCATACTGTTTTATAACCTAATATACATGCATTTAGTAACATAACAGTGATTTAGTTTTTTCCATATCCGTTTTTTTAATTGATGGATAGGTTATAAATAAAAAAGACGTTGATTTTGCTTACGACTCACTTATATTGTGTTGGACAAGAAGTCTGTATCCAATTTATTTTCACTATTAGACAACTTTCATATTTTTTGATAAAATGGGTGCAAAGATATCCAATGAAAATGAAAAAACACAACGTTACTATAATCGTGGGATAAGCTTTAATGTTACTGTATTCATGGGTCTGGCTTTGACGTTTCTGTGATTGCGAAACTAGCTGTACTGTTACTGTAATCGTTGGACTGGCTTTGCTATTGTAAATTTGGGACTAGATGGAAAGCTACTGTAAGCAATGGATAAACTGTACTGTTACTGTAATTGTGGAATTGGTTTTGCTTAACATTGATCGCGGGACTAGCTGTACTGTTACTGTAATCATGGGTCTGGATTTGCTGTTACTGTAATCGCGGAACTAGATGTACTGTCACTGCAATCGTGGAATTGGCTTTACTGTAACTTTAATCACTAGACTAGCTTTAATGGTACTGTAATAATGGGTCTGGCTTTGCTGTTACTGTAATCGCTGGACTAACTGTAATATTACTGTAATCGTGGAATAGGCTTTGGTGTAACTTAAATCGCAGGACTAGCTGTAATGTTACTGTAATCATGGGTCTGAATTTGCTGTTACTGTAATCGCGGAACTAGCTGTACTGTTACTGTAATCGTGGGACTGGCTTTGCTGTAACTTTAATCTCAGAATTAGCTGTAATGTTACTGTAATCATGGGTCTTGATTTGCTGTTACTGTAATCGAGAAACTAGCTGTACAATTATTGTAATCGTAGGACTGACTTTACTGTAGCTGTAAATGTGGGAATAGCTGTACTGATGCTGTAATCGAGGCTCTGGCTTTGTTTTAACTGTAATAGCGGGACAAACTGTACTGTTACTGTAACCACAGGATTATCTGTACTGTTACTGTAATCGTGAGACTGGCTTTGATGAAACTGTAATTGCGGAACTAGCCTTACTGGATTTGCTGTAATTGTAAATTTGGGTCCAGCTTTACAGTTACTGAAATCGTGGAAAAGCTGTACTGTTACTGTAATCGTGGAACTAGCTGTACTGATACTGTAATCGTGGGTCTGGCTTTGATGAAACTGTATTTGCTGGACTAGCTGTACTGTTCTTGTAATCATGGGTCTGGCTTTGTTGTAACTGTAATCGCGAAACTAGCTACTGTAATCGTTGGACTGGCTTTGCTATTTTAATTTGAAACTAGCTGCACAGCTACTTAAGCAATGAACAAGCTGTACTGTTACTGTAATCGTGGGATTAGCTTTGCTGTAACTGTGACGTGACTGGCTGTACTGTTGCTGGAATCGTGGGACAAACTGTGTTGTAACAGTAATCGTGGGACTAGCTAAATCGTTAGTGTAATTTCAGGACTAGCTATGATGTAATTGTAATCGCGGTTCTAGCTGTGCTGTAACTTTAATCGCTGGACTAGATATGCTATAATTGTAATCGCGTGTCGAGCAATACTGTATCTGTGTAAAATAAAATCATTAGTTAATCATCAACCCAACTACTATATATATATATATATATAACGACTTAGATGCCACGAGGTACGTAGTATATCGACACATCACTAACGACACTCAGTCTAACACGATGTGTCTACATCTATGACAAACACGATTTGCAGATCGGAACTGTACTTCTGAATACAACTTTAAGAATGTCTGATCACAGTGGGAGCGGGCGAAACAAATACCCTGTTTATGCAAACGAAGCATTCAAGGTCAGTTCTAACTGTTTTCCTCCATATTCATAAGGATGCTCGATTTGGGCGGACACGCCATGTGACTGGTGGATTACCGCTCGATCTCAATACAGCGCTTTGTGCCGTGTTGTACGAGCTTGTAACGCTGACGTGTGTCAAATATTATGGTGACGTACATCAGTCATCTTAACTTGTTAAAGTCGCGTTTGTTTTTACCATACAACACGACAGAAATCAAGTATTAACGGATGAAAACAAAACTGTGATAGTAATTTTAATCTGTATTCACAAGACATTGACAGTAATCGGGCATGTGGTTAATTAGCGATGCTCAAGATGTCTTCTCAACTGTACCACATCATCCACAGTATTCACTATATTTCAAATTTCAGGCCATATACTGAATTAGTAACAACCTTGTGTACAAGAGATAACGTCACGACAGGCTGATACAAAAGTAGGTCAATGCATCGCCAGTATATTGATGAACTTTGACCCATAGTCGATTGCAGTTATCATAAATTATAAAATTTGTCATTCTATATTTGAGTATTAATATCATTTTTTATAACAGTATATAAGACCACAAGATTTAAGCACGTGACAGATACACCCATTGTGTAAATACTATAAATACATTAATTATTCACTGTTTTAATGTTGCTATTTTCGCTGATAAGTAAAATCCGCTAAATAAAATCTACATGAACATGTAAAATGACAATAAAACTTCTTGACAGATTCGTGAGATTAAAACACAGTGATTATGCTCAAAGCATCGAAATAGTGCAATTGAATGTCAGTGAAATTATATGGTTTTTCCGCGTGATACATGCATATTAGGCGAATATTATACAGTGGGCTTCAACAAATTTGTGTGAAAGATTGTATACGAAGATCATAATCCAATTTGTAACTCAACATGCCACATCGAGCAACAATATTGAAAAAAATAATTAATATTAATATAAATTTGGTTGATTTAAACTCAAGTATTCATTTGGTATAACGCTGAGATACGCGACAACCATGATATGAAGTCCTGATTTTAGCAACGCCGTTGCAGTCAATAACTTTAGAAATGTGTTTGCGCATTGTATGAGTATAACTAGCCAGGAGAATGTTTTAAATGTGTGTTACTGCCATGAACATAATAATCGAATAATTCTGCAATTTAATAAGTTATGCGATCAACGACAGATGGTTAGGATTTCTATCTGGTTCACGGCTTTAATATCAGACTGTTAAATCACCTCCGGATCAACACAATTGGAAAGGTTATCTAACTGTGTGGTGGTGAGTGTGAAGGGAGAGATTGGAGAAATGATACCAATCTTGATGTCAACCAACATCTCGATCCCCGGATGATATTGTCCTTCGTAAACTCGGACGTAGTGTTTCGAGTAAGTCTACTTTCATTCCTCTAAATTCTAAGTCTGAAGGGTTTAAACTAATTCGCGATGCTGATGGTTTATTCCGCTATCTGAGACAACGGTTATATCTACCCATAGAATCCAGGAATCTCATTGTTTGTATATCTCGTACACCAGTGTATCATTTACCCACAATTCACAAGGAGACCATTCCGGCCAGACCTATCGTGTCTACCTTTAATTGTTAACGGACTGTTTGAACAACAGAGACAACTTGAAGCCAAAAAAGTTGTTTTACTACATTAAGCGTCCGCATGGCCGTCTTTTAGTATCACTAACGCTGAAGAGCCGTAGAATGCTCGTACAAGACATGCACCGTCAACAATTTTACCCCAAATTAGTCAAAGCGAGTGCATAGAAAATCACGATATTATAAATAGAACATCTACCAGCAAACACTTTTTGTTATAACGAAATTAAAAAAATATATGTAGGAACCTGCTAGGACAGATAAATATGAAATATGGTAGTAAGTAATCGTAATCTCGTTGTCGTAATATTCTTCCTCGACGGTATTTCCTGAATAGAGTGAGAACATCGTACTCGTAACGACAAGAATAATCAAAAAATTCAAGCTCGACACATGGTTACTGTAAGCAATGACATAAACCGTTTATTCATTTCCATTAGGTTCTATTGCACAATGTCTGAAAATATTTTTTTTTCTAAGCGTCTAAATTGATTTTCGTTGCAGCTGGCAACACCGTAATACGGGCAGATCTGAAAAACTGCATCCCCCCAGAATTGTGCCACGACAGCTGGACAGGGACGGCTTTCTTGCCTGGTATACCGTATATGTTAGGAAGAACGATTCCCCTGTTGACATGACCCATACTATTTGTAATAATAATACAATAATACAATTAATATAAACGAGCACGTGTTATTTCTCGTAGGGTTACATGAAATTTTGCTGTGGTCTTCCTAATTGCCCCTGTTATCTGTGAGAACCAACAAACAGAGATGGCAGCACGAAATGTTGCATGAGGGGGCGGAGACCTGCCCACCAACCTTGCGCCGAAGGCGCGACCTTACTAGGGGGCCGGGGCATGCTGCCCATTAACAAATTTGACTAGACTCTCTAAAACGCTATTTCCTGCATTTTGAGGGGCACATTTTGCGAACGCAAAAGGTTTCAGCTTGATGATTTTGGAGGG